AAATTAACATATTGTGATAAAGGTCATTATTTTCCATAATGTAATGATAAAAATGAAACTTTCATATATTTCAGATTCATTGCACACCAACTGAAATATTTCAGGTCTTTAATTGTTTTAATACTGATGATTATGGCATACAGCTCATGAAAACCCAAAATGCCTGTCCCAAAAAATTAGCATATCATGAAAAGGTTCTCTAAACAAGCTATTAACCTAACCATCTGAATCAATGACGTAACTCTAAACACCTGCAAAAGATTCCTGAGGCTTTTAAAATCTCCCAGCCTTGTTCATTACTCAAAACTGCAATCATGGGTAAGACTGCCGACCTGACTGCTGTCCAGAAGGCCATCATTGACACCCTCAAGCAAGAGGGTAAGACACAGAAAGAAATTGCTGAACGAATAGTCTGTTCCCAGAGTGCTGTATCAAGGCACCTCAGTGGGAAGTCTGTGGGAAGGGAAAAGTGTGGCAGAAAACGCTGCTCAATGAGAAGAGGTGACCGGACCCTGAGGAGGATTGTGGAGAAGGGCCGATTCCAGACCTTGGTGGACCTGTGGAAGCAGTGGACTGAGTCTGGAGTAGAAACATCCAGAGCCACCGTGCACAGGCGTGTGCAGGAAATGGGCTGCAGGTGCCGCATTCCCCAGGTCAAGCCACTTTTGAACAAGAGACTGCGTCAGAAGCATCTCGCCTGGGACTGCTGCTGAGTGGTCCAAAGTTATGTTCTCTGATTACAGTAAATTTTGCATTTCCTTTGGAAATCAAGGTCCCAGAGTCTGGAGGAAGAGAGGAGACACAGAATTCACATTGCTTGAGGTCCAGTGTCAAGTTTCCACAGTCACTGGGGTGTCATGTCAGCTGCTGGTGTTGGTCCACTGTGTTTTATCAAGGGCAGGGTCAATGCAGCTAGCTATCAGGAGATTTTGGAGCACTTCATGCTTCCATCTGCTGAAAAGCTTTATGGAGATGAAGATTTCATTTTTCAGCACGACCTGGCACCTGCTCACAGTGCCAAAACCACTGGTAAATGGTTTACTGACCATGGTATTACTGTGCTCAATTGGCCTGCCAACTCTCCTGACCTGAACCCCATAGAGAACCTGTGGGACATTGTGAAGAGAAAGTTGAGAGACACAAGACCCAACACTCTGGATGAGCTTAAGGCCGCTATCGAAGCATCCTGGGCCTCCATAACACCTCAGCAGTGCCACAGGCTGATTGCCTCCATGCCACGCCGCATTGAAGCAGTCATTCATGCAAAAGGATTCCCGACCAAGTATTGAGTGCATAACTGAACATGATTATTTGAAGGTTGGTGTTTTTTGTATTAAAAACACTTGTCTTTCATTGGTGGGATGAAATATGCTAATTTTTTGGGACAGGCATTTTGGGTTTTCATGAGCTGTATGCCATAATCATCAGTATTAAAACAATTAAAGACCTGAAATATTTCAGTTGGTGTGCAATGAATCTCAAATATATGAAAGTTTCATTTTTATCATTACTTTATGGAAAATAATGACCTTTATCACAATATGCTAATTTTTTGAGAAGGACCTGTAAATATATACACACACACACACACACACATATATATACAGTAGACCCTCGTTTATCGCGGGGGGATCCGTACCCTGAAGCCCCGTGATAAGTGAAAAACCGCAAAGTAGGAATAGTAGTACAAGTAGTGTGTAGTAGTTTATTAATATTAAGGCATTTTAAACCCTTTCCACACTCTTTCAATATTCTAAACAATGTTTCTAAACTCTAACCTCTCTAAAAGAGCACAGAATGTCATGAACTCTGCTCTCTGGGCTGCACTCTGTGCTCTCGGCCACGCCCACTTCTCCCCTGCAGAACAGCGATCACAGAGGAAGGAGTAGCAGCAGGAGGAAGTTTCATCTGCAGTGGGGGCTGCACACAGGGGGCAACAGGTCAAAAAGTCAGAATTTCTTTATTTGTCATTCGCACCACATGTGGTACATGTTGTGGAACGAAATTGTGTAAAAATAGCTAAATATTAAAAGCTAAATAATAAAAAATTAATTATTTTAAATAAAACTTTCATGCCGATTGTACGACACATCCATCAATTAGTCAATTGTTTTTTTAATTTTACCTATATTTTACCAGGATAAAAAAACTGATTGAGATTAAAAAACTCTTTTTCAAGGGAGACTTGGTCAAAAGGCATCAACAAATACAACAATCAAACGATTGTGTGTCATGTCCAATCTTATTTTGAAAAACCGTGATAGAGCGAGTCTGCAAAAAACGAACTGCAAAGTAGCGAGGGACTGATGTACATCTAAACAAACACACACACATATATATATATATACACACACACACACACACACACACACACACACACACATATACAAACACACACACACACACACATACACACACACACATACACACACACACACATATATTATACAAACAGGATTCCAAAAAAGTTGGGACACTAAACAAATTGTAAATAAAAACTGAAAGCAATGATGTGGAGATGGCAAATGTCAGTATTTTATTCATAATATAACATAGATGACAGATCAAAATTTTAATCTGAGTAAATGTAACATTTGAAAGGAAAAATATGTTGATTCAAAATTTCACATTGTCAACAAATCCCAAAAAAGTTGGGACAAGTAGCAATAAGTGGCTGGAAAAAGGAAATTGAGCATATAACGAACAGCTGGAAGACCAATTAACACTAATTAGGTCAATTGACAACATGATTGGGTATAAAAAGAGCTTCTCAGAGTGTCAGTGTCTCTCAGAAGCCAAGATGGTAAGAGGATCACCAATTCCACCATTGGTGTGCAGGAAGATAGTGCAGCAATACCAGAATGGTGTTACCCAGCGTGAAATAGCAAAGACTTTTAAGTTATCATCATCAACCGTGCATAACTTCGTCAAAAGATTCAGAGAATCTGGAACAATCGCTGTGCGTAAGGGTCAAGGCCGTAAAACTCTACTGGATGCTCGTGATCTCCGGGTCCTTAAATGTCACTGCACCTCAAATAGGAATGCCACTGTCAAGGAAATAACAGAATGGGCTCTGGAATACTTCCAGAAAGCATTGTCAGTGAACACAATCCACCGTGCCATTCGCCGTTGCCAGCTGAAATTCTACAGTGCAAAGATGAAGCCATTTCTAAGCAAGCTCCACAAGCTCAGACGTTTGCACTGGGCCAGGGGTCATTTAAAATGGAGTGTGGCAAAATGGAAGACTGTTCTGTGGTCAGATGAGTCATGATTTGAAGTTCTTTATGGAACACTGGGACGCCATGTCATCCAGACCAGAGAGGACAAGGATAGCCCAAGTTGTTATCAACGCTCCGTTCAGAAGCCTGCATCACTGATGGTATGGGGTTGCATGAGCGCTTGTGGCATGGGCAGCTTGCATGTCTGGAAAGGCACCATTAATGCAGAGAACTATGTTCAGGTTCTAGAACAACATATGCTCCCATCTAGACGTCATCTCTTTCAGGGAAGACCCTGCATTTTTCAACACGATAATGCCAGACCACATTCTGCAGCAATCACAACATCAAGGCTACGTAGGAGAAGGATCCGGGTACTGAAATGGCCAGCCTGCAGTCCAGATCTTTCACCTATAGAGAACATTTGGTGCATCATAAAGAGGAAGGTGCGACAAAGAAGCCCCAAGATGATTGAACAGTTAGAGGCCTGTATTAGACATGAATGGGAGAGCATTCCTATTTCTAAACTTGAGAAACTGGTCTCCTCTGTCCCCAGACGTCTGTTGAGTGTTGTAAGAAGAAGGGGGGATGCCACACAGTGGTAAAAATGGACTTGTCCCAACTTTTTTGGATTTGTTGACGCCATGAAATTTGGAAACAACAGATTTTTCACTTAAAATGATACATTCTCTCAGTTTAAACTTTTGATCTGTGATTTGTGTTCTATTCTGAATAAAATATTAGATGTTGACACCTCCACATCATTGCATTCAGTTTTTATTCACAATTTGTTTAGTGTCCCAACTTTTTTGGAATCCGGTTTGTATATATATGTATATGTATGTATACATATATATACATATATATACATATATATATATGTATATATATATATATATACACATATACATATATATACACATATATATATATATATACACATATACATATATATATATATATATACACATATACATATATATATATATACATATATATATATATATATATGTATATGTGTGTGTGTATATATTTTTTTTCTTTTGGCTGCTCCCTTTTTTTAGGGGTCGCCACAGCGAACTAAGTCGCACGAAGACTTGGCAGTTATTCTTTTAAGCCGGGTGTCCTTCCTGACGCAACCACAGACCACCGAGCTGCTACAGCCCTCTGTTTGGAGCAGAGAACTGCTATCTAGGACACCCGGAGGAGCAGATAGTGGGGGTTAAGGTCCTTGCTCAGGGGCCCAGAGTGGGTCGAATGAGGGTGGGGGGCAGGTGTTGGTGCTTCACCTACCCCACCCACATTTTTTATGTTGTCGGTACCGGGGCTTGAACCAGCGATCTTCCAATCACAGGCCCACCTTCTCTAACCTCTATGCCACCACTCCCCATATGACAGACAGATTTAGTTTGTAAAGTCTTCTGTCCAGTCTGTGGTATAAATGCTGCATTGAGTTCCCTCACAGCTCTTCACTGCCCCCTGCTGACTTGCAGCACACACTTCATCCAAAACAAAAAGCAGATGTGACGTTTGTCCTTACAGGTTGAGAGGCGTGGGTCTCCCAGAGAGTGGGACGGGAAACTGCAGAGTCCAGGCTGAGCCTGGCCAGGTTATAGACGTCTCCATGTCTCCGAGGGGACAGGGACTGGGATCTGAAGGATGGGTGCACGGTTGTTCTAAGTCTCCCTCTGTGGGGTTGAGGGGGTTTCTTCTGAGAAGGTGGTCTGCTGGAGCGCCTCCTGCTTCTATTCACTGGCCTCTGAAAACAAAGTGAACAGGTGTGAATGGTGCTACAACAAATATTACACACTCCAGTGCAGTCCAGACGTTTGACAGCTACTATTCAGTGTTCCCAGAAGACGTATGAAAGATAAATCCAGTTTAATGATCTTTATTGTTAAGATGATACACTGAGTCAAGGAACAGCTGCCATAACATATTTCTTTATTTACCATGTGTGTGTTGGGGTAAATGTTGATCTCTGCGTCAGGTGAACACTCAGTGATAGTTGTTCTGGTGGAAAACTCCAGCCTTGGAGCAATCCCCTGGGAATAATATGAATTTAAAGCAAGATTAGAGAGAGTGTTTTGTTAAAGAAGGGAAATAATATTTAGAATTTTTCAGAATAAATATTTATCTAGACCAGTGTTCAGTATGCTCAGGTTCAATACAAACTTGATTCAGTAGAAAAAACAGAAAGAATTTTTCAAAACAAAGTTTGCAAACTCTTTACTTATCATCATGTATGACTTCAGTTAGTTCAACTCAATATAACTGATAAAAACAACTTTACTGTGCACCTCGTTTGTTCCAAGGATGTTCTTACTGGAAAATGAGGAGCCTTCGTCATCAGAACTTCTTGGTCCACTCCAGACAAAGGAGGAACAAGTTTCGGCTCTGGGAATAAGAAACTTCGTGCATCTTCTTCAAAACATGCAAGAATGTCCCCTGCTACAAAACAAATCCTTTGTGTCAACCACGTCTCATTGTACAGCAGGGCTATTCAACAAAACTGCTCAGGGGCCGGACATCCAGCTATTAAAGTCATTATGTAAATAAACCAAGTATTTCAATGATGTGTTACCTTCTCAATTTGTTTATGTAGCTGCATCGAATCATAAATGCAATAAAACAGAACCCAAAACCCAGAATTAAAAATAAATAAATAATGAACTCATTGGTGGGCTGGACTGAAGTCTCCCATGGGCCGGAAGTGGCCCACGGACCGTATGTTGAGAAGCCCTATTGTATAGTCTTTGTTACATGAAAACAGGACAGAAGACGGAAAGCAAAAAAAAATTAAATGTAAAAAAAAAAAAAAAGAAAGAAAGAAAAACAAACAGGAGTTAATATCTAAAGTTATTTTTTCCAGTATTGGGAGCTTGGTTTAATGACACGCGTTCTCACGCACATCACAGCAGTAATATTGTTTTCTGTCCAAATCTTTTTATAAAGTGACCTTTGATAATAACGCCATCATCATGTTACTTTGCACTGAATGCCATTTTGTAATTTTGGTAATAAATAAATAAATAAACCAAGATTATAAAAAAGATATCATAATAAATTCCAAATATTGAAAAAAATGTTTAGGATTGGTAGAGTTCGGCAATCCTACAAAATAATGTTAAATTAAGTGTTTTATACCAAGCTTGATCATGCTTTGTAGTTAAAACACTAAAACCCTGGAGGATCATCCACATTCTGGATGATTTTTAATGTCACTGCTGGGTCATCATCCCATACAAACCAGGTCTTACCAAAACACTAAGATAATCTGAGCTCTCAGTAACTATTTTTAATCAACAGCAACAAAAACTGCATTACATTTAAAATGAGAATAAAAGCATCATTTAGTTCCCAAAGGAACGCCACATTTTCATCGTACCTGGAGGAATCAGTTGAACCAGCTCTACTCTGACCGTCTCGTCTGTGAAGAAGTTCAGAGACTTAAAGAACAGCTTTAGAAAGACGATCCACAGATGATGCACATGTACATAACTTCAGTTATCCTGCTGAACATGAGTGAAGATCACTGTATGTAACATAAAACTGCTGTTCTGATGAGGACACTGGATATGTTCAGTGAGGGAAACACATCACACTGAATCAAATATAGACAGAGTCTACAGTTTAAAATAAGTTTAATGAATATATTCTGACATAGACGTTGACTATAATTTGCAAGAATGTTCCTATTATCCCATTCTAATGTAACACGCCAACATGTCTGTGGTTTGGAGGTATTTAAAATAGATAACAAGCGGTATACCGAATGATGTCGCTGAGGGATTTGAACAGTAAATGTTTGTAGTTTTAAAGATGAGTGTTTGTCTGGACTGGAATGGAACAGGGAATACAAGTAAACCTACTGTAAATATCCTGATGCATGCTCAATAACTGTACTGTACAAGTGTACAACTACTGTAAATGTTTTTGCTGGAAGATATTCAAGTGGGTAGGAGGACAGATCTGTGTAGGTAAACAGAGGTAGTTTCTTTTTTCTTGTCAGCGGCAGCACAGAGTGACAGATACTGGTGCGTGGATGGAGTCATTTTATACACTAGCAGGTGCAGTGGTGGAGCCAGGGGGTGGCCAATGGTGGCTCTGCCCACCATAGCTTAAACTTTGGCCACAACAAGGGCCACCCCAGTCATCTGAGGAAACTATACTTTTAAGCAATATAAAAGTAGAAAGCATTAATTTCCTTACATTATCGGGGGTGGGGGTAAAAGAGCTCACAACACGGACAGACGGACGGATGGATGGATAGAGGGTATTTACATTTTCTCCTCTTTGTTCCACAACGGGGGACAAATGGTAAATTGACTGTATATATATAGATCCTTTCTATCTGATCAAGATACTCAAAGCTCTTTACAACAATCTGTGCCTCATTTACCCACTCATACAGCTCTATACTAGATCTATACAAAGACTAATCTGTGTTTTATCACATTCATACATCAATGGGACACACATTGGAGACAACGAGGGGTTCAGTGTCTTGCCCAGGGACACTTTAACATGTGACTGCTGGTGGAATTGAACCCCCAACTCTTGCATTGGAGGACAACTGCTCTAACCACTCAGCCACAGTGGCCACAACATTGGAAGCAATTTAATAGCTCTTTGTAATATTTGCTTCTAGCGATGGAGCTACATTCAATAACACTAATTTTTCAAGACATTTAAAACCCAAACACTCAGCTGAGTACGTGAAGTTCCTAAAGCTTAAAGCTAAAGCAGCTAAGCAGTTACTTCAGACAAAAACATCAAAAGAGAAGAGGCATAAAGGCAAAGAGTATCACAACAGGGGAAACTGAATTTATAGTTCTGGAAGACCAATCTGTCTCTGCAGGGAAGAAAAAGGTTTTCATCACCTTTCACTGCTGTTGGAGCCACAATATGTCCTACCCCCCACCCCACCCCCCCACAACACTCCAGGAACAGCACACAGTGGCACCAGACCTGCATAAAAAATGGTTATCACCTAGAATATATTTGGTCTTTGATGTTCAGTTTAATTTAGTTTTTTTAATAGCACTAATTGACATGTCAGCACAGGGAACTGTAAAAAATGTGCTATTTAGCAAAAGTTACCAGTATCTATGTTAAGAAACCAGCTGTTTTAAATGGCTCATATTAGTAGCGGGGACAAGAACTCCTAACTGGAACATCATTAACTAATAAGGATGTAAAGTTTATTTATTTAGCACCTTTCGCAAATAAAAGTCACAAAGTGAATTTATGTCTATACTTTTATTTCTACACCTGGCGCTTGCTGGACTCCACAAACACAGATGAAGCTGTAACAAAATAGCAACACTTACACTCGAGCATTACAGCCATTTCTCCAGGGTCAGCTGCATATCTGAATATCTGTGGGGAAAAAACTGAACTGTTCAAATATGCCTCCTTCTTGAATGTTTTATATAAATCTACAAAATGTATGAGACCCCAGCGTTGTTCATGAACACCAAATGGAAATAAGTCATTATTTAAATAGACATGAAACTATTTACTCTGGCTTCACACTTGTTTCTCTATGTAACAATCAGTGATGATATGTAGACCCTGGTATAATAATAATAAATGAACACATGCCTTTTCAAAGGTCATTTTCTCATGGACCAGCAGAGGAAAGATGGCAGGGAGACATTCAGATTGGCGATACTGGCCCAGAAAGCCCACACTGAGGTAAATGTCATGTTTCATTGGCAAGCGAACTCCAGGACAAGAAACCTGCGAATAAAGAAGAAACAAAGATGCACATTAAGATCTGCAGTGGCTGAGACATTTCCCAGCAGCTCTCAGCAATAGTCACATTGTTCATTAGCTGTAAATGTTAAATAGTTGAAACAACAAGAGCCGCAACTGTTTTTTTGTTTTTTTAACTAAACACTTTGATCTATGGCGTATTGAAACTACTCTGAACTTAGTTACTTTTGGTCTTAGCTTGAACTCATTTTTGACTTTTGGTTAAACTTAAACATCTAATGAGACAATTTCTGAAGACATTCTGAAAAGTGACAATTCAACCCAGAATTCCAACAGACAAAAATGTTCTTATCTAGAACCCTAAAGTGACTTAGGAACTACCTTTGTAACAATTTAAGATGACGCAATTCTGACATTTTGTATAAGAAGTGTAAAGTTTGGGAGAGTAAAAAAGATTGTTGGCAAGTTTAGACAGCGCTAAAATTAAAGATCACAATCGAAGTAGAACATTTTGTGGTACAAGCTCCAAAATTTACCAATTTTAAACTGATTGTAGAAAAAAAATGGAAGGAATGAATGAATGCACATCGACAGAGACCAAAATGCCAGACATGTCAAACATGTGAAGTCCATTTTCTGTGACTTTCTACAGAAAATGAAGTAACAAAAAAATTAAACAACAAAGAAACTTTGATTCGTAAGTTGTCTACGTTTGGCTTTCCATCCTCATAGCTTTCTCATCCCGAACAGTAGAATAAAGTCATTTCACTTTCAATAAGTGGTGGAAAGACAGAGGTCTAGCAGGGTATAGATCTGGGGCCTCATGCACAAAGACTTGTGTAGATTTCCTATTAACACATGGCGTACGCTTAAATCGAGAAAACGGCGTTCGTACAAATAAATCCAGATGTATGAAACCGTGCGCACGCATGAATCCAAGCACACTTCTTTTGTACATCCCAATGAACGTGTAATTGAGCGCACATGACGGAATACACAACTTCTCACTCAACACACTTCCATTTAAATAAATATGCAAATATATTTAAATCTGCCCTGCACCTGAGGAATCTCCTCTCTGCACTATCAAAAATCATGTCTACACACGGGGAGAAGAGGAACTTCATGGGATGTGAGCTGGAGATGCTTCTAAATGAGGAAGAGACATCAAAACATGCTGTTTGGCTCGTTGTCCTCTGGTATTAGCTCCAAGTGCAAGAGAGTGAGTGGGACGATGTGTGTAAATGCAGTGGGGTCAGAGCAGCGCACATCCACAGAAATAAGGAACAAATGGTCAGACATATTAGGACGATGAAATGAATTTACTCACAAAGAAGCCCCCCCATCCCACACCGTGACAGCTTGTAGTCTGTTCCCAACCATGTTGTTCATTAGAATGAATGAATTGTGCGTTGAACCAGGCCCCCTCGCCACAATGTTGGTTAGTTGCTTTTGTGTTTCCCATATCATTTGCACATTGATTGAATGAAAATGCTTCCCATTAACATAAACATATAAACCCTGTGATGGTGTTTTATAGCAATGTGTGCGCAGCCGATAGCTCCGATTACATTAGAAAACCGTCTGTCACTACAAACTGCTCTTTAATGTTGTTGGCCTGTTCAGCTGCATTGTAGGGAATCTGATGTACCGTACCCATCCCACTCAGCTGGCATGG